TGACTAAGAACAAAAAAAAATTATTTTCAATTATTTCACGAGTGGAATACATTTCTATACAAAATCTTTGCTAAATTCATATAAATATAAACGAGTTTTAGATTTCGTATAATAAGTTTCCCAATAACTATAGATGATTTTTTAAACTGAAACTTTATTGATTTTATTCGCATATATTATCCCGCGTATAACGCGAGTAACTATCTAGTTTTAATTAATTGAGGTATTTTTATGGGAGTAAAAAAAGTCTATGTATTTTTCTTGGCATAAATAATTAAGTTGAGATATTTTTAATGGTTTTTATCTCATAATATCTGCAATCTTAGATAATATTTAAGGTTTTTCTAAATCCAAGTCATGAGAAGATGCCATGTGTCATTTTTTGTGTTAACAACTTTTTATTTTTTAGTTTAAGATGTTATGTTTACTTAATTTTGACATTAGTCCCTCTAGATTTTAGAATTTTTGTATTGATTCTTTAAAATAAAAATATGATATCAATATATTAATTTAAAGTAAACATTTAACATCGAATTATCTTTCCAATATTTTTTTCGTATTGGCGACATGCGATAATGTCATTATATAATTTTCTATCATGTTTAATAGATCAATATTTTAATAGCACAAGATAACTTTCTATATTTTAAAATAATTTCACATAAAATAATTTGAAATTGTTGTTTACTTTTGAATTTCTAATTTACTAATATTGTAAGATCAAATTAACTCCGTAATTAAAAAAAAAGTCCAGTAAGTACACTTTTTAAAACGTATGGCAACATCTTGAGGGGAACATTTTAATAGCATGTATGGTAAGAAATAGCAATAATTGATACTATAATATTGTGGGTTTAGGCCAAGCAAAACTAATCTTGACACACTATTGACAATTTTGTACTAGATTTTTTTACTATGCAAATAATACTAAACGAGTATTAGAAAATGCATTTTTATATATATATTATGAATTTCATTAAAAAATAAAGAATTTTTTTATGTCACATACGATCTTGATTCTTGATTTTTATATATAATATTTTATGCAAATACCCATAAATACATGAGTAAAAATAAAGTTGTATAAAAAACTACCATTTTCTTAAAACATTGTAGAAGCTATATAAATTTAGATAATATAAACAACTAGATTTCAAAAGTAACTAAATTTCACTAATTTGTTTTACCTATATATTTATCTATGAATTATTGCATATTTTACTATATAATTTTTATCTTTTCATCCACCAGTGGACACGAACTATAACAAAGAGATCCAAGAAGAATACGATAAATTTTAGAGCCAAAATTGAAAATACAGTGTTGAAATAAAAATATTTGTATATGTATCATCATATGGATCACTTTCATATTAAACATTTAAAAATAATGTTTTATTTTTTTATAAATATAAATTGTGAGCATAAATTTTAAACATCATTTAAGTATATTAATGTTAATATATATATATGATATTAAAATAATTTTAAAAATTATCGAAGTAGTTGTTCCGCGCAACGCGTGAATTTTCACTAGCGTAAAATATTGTTAAGAGATTGTCGTGGCAGTATCTTTATATATATTTGGTCAAAGTGTTTAATTGCTACCA